TTCACCATGTTGCCCAGGCTGGTCGTGAACTCCTGGGCTTAAGCCATCCACCCTCCTTGGCGTCTCAAAGTGCTGGGATTACAGGCGTGAGCCACCACACCCTGCTTCATGATTATCTGAGAAAGAAAACATAATAAACATTGAAATGCATAATGATCATTTGTATTTTTGTTTGTTTGAGACAGAGTCTCGCTCTATCCCAGGCTAGAGTGCAGTGGCACAATCTCGGCTCACTGCAGCCTCTGCCCCCCAGGTTCAAGTGATTCTCGTACCTCAGGTTCCTCGGTAGCTAGGATTATAGCCGCCCACCAACACGCTCAGCTAATTTTTATATTTTTAATAGAGATGGGGTTTTGCCATGTTGGCCAGGCTGGTCTCAAACTCCTGACCTCAAATGATCCATCTGCCTCAGCCTCCCAAAATGTTGGGATTATAGGCCTGAGCCACCGCAACACACATGAAATGCATAATGCTCTTTCAGCAGGGTTGCCAACTTTAGCAAATGAAAATACAGGATGCCTAGTTAAATTTGAATTTCAGATAAACAAATCATTGTTTAGTGTGTGACCCATGCGATATTCGAGACAAATTTATACTAAAAAAAGTACTTGCTGTTTATCTGAAATTCAAATTTAACCAGGCATTCTGTATTTTGTAATTGACTATATTCATAATATTTGTGTGTGCATATATATATGTGTGTGTGATATTTGTGAGCTGGGTGTTTTTAATTTGGGGACTATTTACAGTTTCCTTGCTATTTCTCCTCCCTTATGCAGTATATAAAGCATTCCCTTTACATTTTACCCCTTGGGTATATATACTTTATTCCATTTCCTTCCAACTTTATCTTAAAAGTAGATGGGTTAAGAGAAAAACGTACCAATGTATTCAATTCTCTATCACTTCCCTCTGAAAAAGGTGTTTACTTAATAAACATCAGGCAAGGGCAGCACTTTTGAACCTCTTTTAAAACAGTCAGCTTTATGGTTACACTAAGTAGATTTGTTCTTAACTTCTCTCTCTCATTTTAAAACAAAATGTCTGAAATTATGAATAACTATAGTAATAGTAGCTAACATGTATTGAGCACTTACTATCAGGCACTGTTCAACATTATATAATGGCTTAAATCACTTACACCCCACAAACCATTGACGTAGGTACCATTAGTACCCCTACTTTGGAGATGAGGAAAGAGACACAAAGAAGTTAGGCAAATCCCAGTTTCCCATTATTAATATTTTACATTAGTATGATACATTTGTCACAATTAATGGACCCATGTTGGTATAGATTATTATTAGAACCCATGTTTCATTCAGATGTCCCCAGTCTTTCCCTCGTGTCCTGTTTCTGTCCCAGGATCCCATCCCGGGTGCCGCATTTCACTTAGCCATCCTGTTGCCTTGGACTCCTCTCGGTTGTGAGTTTCTTAGGCTTTCTTGGTTCTTGATGACTTTGACAGTTTTGCACAGGACTGGTTGCATATGTTGTAGAATGTCCTTCGGTTGGGGTTTGTCTGGTGTCTCTCATGGTTAGACTGGGGTTGTGGGTTTGGGGGAGGGGGACCCACAGGAATAAGTGCTGTCCTCATCAACCTTGACCACCTGGCTAAGGGGGTGTTTGTCAGCTTTCTTCATGATAAAGTTACTCTTTTTTTCCCTCTTTCCATACTGTACTCTTTGAAAGGAAGTCATATTCCTAACCCACACTTTATGGTTATTATGACTGAGCTATGTTTTAAACGTCAGCTTTATGGAGACACAATGCACGTTATATAATGCACCTATTTACAGTGTACAATTCTGTGGCTTTCAGTATATCCAGAACTGTGCAAGCATCACCTCAATCTACTTTAAAACATTTTCATCACCCCAAAAAGAAACCCCATACCCATTAACAGTCATTCCCCTTTTCCCTCCCCTCCTTGCCTCCCCCAGCCCATGGCTACCATGAATCTACTTTCTGTCTCTACAGATTTGCCTATTCTGGACATTTCATACAAAAGGAATCATGCAGTATGTGGTGTTTTGTGACTGGCTTCTCTCACTTAGCATAACGTTTTTGAGGCTCATCCATGTTCTAATATGTTTTAGTATTTCATTCTTTTTTATTGCTGGATAATATTTTATTGTATGGATAGACCGCATTTTGTTTACTGATACATCCATTGCTGGACATTTGGGTTGTGTCCACTTTTTGACTTCTATGAATAAGATTGGTACGCACATTCAGGTACAAGTTTTTACATGGACGTGTTTTCATTTATCTTGGCTAAATACCTAGAAGTGGAATTGTTGGATGTACTTGAGCTATTATTAAAAATAACAAAAAATGGCTGGGCGTGGTGGCTCACGCCTGTAATCCCAGCACTTTGGGAGGCTGAGGTGGGTGGATCACTTGAGGCCAGGAGTTTGAGAACAGCCTGGCCAACATGGTGAAACCCTGTCTCTACTAAAAATACAAAAATAATTAGCCAGTTATGGTGGCAGGCACTTGTAATCCCAGCTACTCAGGAGACTGAGGCAGGAGAATAGCTTGAACCCAGGAGGCGGAGGCTGCAGTAAGCTGAGATTGCACCATTGCACCTCCAGCCTGGGCAAAGAGAGTGAAACTCTGTGTCTAAAAACCAAAAACCAAAAGCGAAAATATAGCTGACTAGGCTGTAGGCTGTCCCTGCTTCAGTTCTCCATACTGGCTAGGAAAATTTAGCTGATTGTCCTATAAAACCAGAAAAGACCCCTCTAATCTGTGGGCAAGTACCCAAATTGCAAGAATGTTGACTAAGATGAAAGAAAACAGCTTCTAAAAGCCTGTCTACACATCCCATCCTATAAACCTAAGGCGAATAACATAGCTTATCTGTACTGAAAAAAATACAGATCCCATATATTACTAGCTTCTGTTAAAAAGTTATGATAGGAAAGTTGTCTGTCCTAAGTCTAGATGTTCTTCAAGGCGCACAAAGAGTAAGTTGTTTGTGCCACATTTTCTTTATCCATTCCTCCATAGACAGATACTTAGGTCAGTCTTGGCTCCATATCTCGGCTATTATGAATAATGCTGCAATGAACATGAGAGTACAGATAGGACTTCAACCTACTAATTTCATTCCTGTTGTATAGGTACTCAGCAGTGGGAATGCTGGATCATAAGGCAGTTCCATTTTTAATTTTTAAAGGAATCTTAATACTATTTTCCATAATGGGTATACCAATTTACATTCCACCAACAGTGCACAATGGTTCCCTTTTCTCCACCCCTTTGCCAATACTTGTTATCTCTTGTCTTTGTGATAATAGCCAGCCTCACAGATGTGGTACATACATACAATGGAAAGTTATTCAGCCATAAAAAGCAAGGAAATCCTGCCATTTGGAACAACATGGATGAAACTGGAGGACATTATGCTGAGTGAAATCAGCCAGGCACAGAAGGACACATATTGTATGATCTTATTTATACATTGATATAGTTTGGATTTGTGTCCCTGCCCAAATCTCATGTTGAATTGTAATCCCCAGTGTTGGGGGAGGGGCTGGCAGGAGATAATTGATCATGGGGGCGGATTTCCCCCTTGCTGTTCTCGTGATAGTGAGTGCGTTCTCATGAGATCTGGTTGCTTAAAAGTGTGTAGTACCGGTCTGCAGAATCTGCACCAACCAGCACCATGCCCACGACACTGGGGTATGGGGACATCCACGGGCTGGCACACGCCATCCGCCTGCTCTTGGAATATACAGACTCAAGCTACAAGGAAAAGAAGTACATGATGGGGGACTCTCCTAACTATGACAGAGGCCAGTAGCTGCATGAAAAATTCCAGCTGGGCCTGGACTTTCCCAATCTGCCCTACTTGTTCGATGGGGCTCACAAGATCACCCAGAGCAATGCCATCCTGTGCCACATTGCCCGCAAGCACAACTTGTGTGGGGAGACAGAAGAGGAGAAGATTCGTGTGGACATTTTGGAGAACCAGTCCATGGACAACCTGATGCAGCTGGCCATGATCTGCTACATCCCAGAATTTGAGAAAGTGAAGCCAAAGTACTTGGAGGAACTCCCTGAAAAGCTAACGCTCTACTCGCAGTTTCTGGGGAAGCGGCCATGGTTTGCAGGAGACGAAATCACCTTTGTGGACTTCCTCGCCTATGACATCCTTGACCTGAACTGTATATTTGAGCCCAGCTGCCTGGATGTCTTCCCAAACCTGAAGGACTTCATCTCCCGATTTGAGGGTTTGAAAAAGATCTCTGCCTACATGAAGTCCAGCCAATGCCTCCAAGGTCCTTTGTTTGGGAAGTCAGCTATGCCTGGGAGCCTGGAGAACACTGGAGAACAGCCCGACTCCCTGGACCCTCCTTCTTTCTTTCTCCTTGTTTCTACTCTCTTCTCTTCCCCAAGGCCTCATTGGCTTCCTTTCTTCTAACATGATCCCTCCTGCATCCAGGCTCTTTAAAGCTTCAGCTGCCACTATCTTCCATCAAAGTCCCCCTCCTAACATCTCTCTTTTTCTGCGCTAACACCAACCTGACTGCTTTTCCTATCAGTGCTTGTTTCTTCTTTGAAAAGCTGGACTGATCCCTGAGCTCCCCAGCACTGTCCTCAAAGACCATCTGCATGCCCTGCTCCCTTTGCTAGGTCCCTACCCCAGCCCTGTGTGATGCCCAGTAAAGCCTGAACCATGAAAAAAAAAAGTATGTAGTACCTCCCCCTTCACTCTCTTCCTCCTGTCTGGCCATGTGAAGATGTGCTGTTTCCTCTTCACCTTCTGCCATGATTTTAAGTTTTCTAACGCCTCCCCAACCATGCTTCCTGTAGAGCAAGCTTGTCCAACCCACGGCCCACAGGCTGCATGTGACCCAGAATGGCTTTGAATGTAGCCCAACACAAATTTGTAAACTTTCTTAAAATATTATGAGATTTTGAACTCAAGATGGATCAAGGCCTTAAATCTAAGACGTAAAACTATAAAAACTCTAAAAGATAACATCGGGAAAACTCTGTTAGACATTGGCTTAGGCAAAGACTTCATAACCAAGAACCCAAAAGCAAATGCAACAAAAACAAAGAAAAATAGATGGAACTTAATTAAACTAAAAAGCTTCTGCACAGCAAAATAAACTATCAGCAGAGTAAACAGACAACCCACAGAGTGGGAGAAAATCTTTGCAATCTATACATCTCATAAAGAACTAACATCCAGAATCTACAAGGAGCTCAAACATATCAGTAAGAAAAAAAAAAAAAAATCTCATCAAAAAGTGGGCTAGGCTGGGCGCGGTGGCTCGTGCCTGTAATCCCAGCATTTGGAGGCGGGTGGATCTCAAGGTCAGGAGACAGAGACCATCCTGGCTAACACGGTGAAACCCCGTCTCTACTAAAAATACAAAAAATTAGCCAGGCATGATGGCACATGCCTGTAGTCCCAGCTACTCGGGAGGCTGAAGCAGGAGAATCTCTTGAACCCGGGAGGTGGAGGTTGCAGTGAGCTGAGATCACGCCACTGCACTCCAGCCTGGGCAACAGAGCGAGACTCTGTCTCAAGAAAAAAAAAAAAAAAGTAGGCTAAGGACATGAATAGACAATTCTCAAAAGAAGATATACAAATGGCCAACAAACATGAAAAATTGCTCAGCATCACTAATGATCAGGGAAATGTGATACCACAATATGATACCACCTTACTCCAGCAAGAACCATGAGTGGATAAAGAAATTATGGTGTACACACACACACACACACACACACACACCATGGACCACTACTCAGCCTTAAAAAGGAATGAAATAATGGCATTTGCAGCAACCTGGATGGAATTGGAGACCATTATTCTAAGTAAAGTAACTCAGGAATGGAAAAACAAACATCCTTTGTTCTCACTCATAAGTGAGAGCTAAGCTATGAGGATGCAAAAGCATAAGAATGATACAGTGGACTTTGGGGACTTGGGAGAAAAGGCGTGCGGGATAAAAGACTACACATTGGGTACAGTGTACACTGCTCAGGTGATGAGTGCACCAAAATCTCAGAAATCACCACTAAAGAACCTATTCATGTAATCAAACACCATGCTCTAAAGCCTTATATACTGAATTGAGGAGTTTGAACTTTATTCTCAGAGCTAGGAAACTACGCACATAATCTGAGTGTGTGATGGTGCTGAGAGGTGTTTCAGAATGTGACCTCTAGCATTTGGCACCTGGCTTCATGATGTAGTTACTGTGTGTGAATTTCGATCTCTGCATCTGCAAAATACACTAATACTTGTGTTTGCCTTTTAAGAATATTTTGAGAATTAAGATAATACACACACACACACACACACACACACACGTATTAGGAGATTTTTTTGCAATTTTTTTTTTTTAAGCTCATCAGCTATTGTTAGTTAGTGTTAGTGTATTTTATGTGTGGCCCAAGATAATTCTTCTTCCGATGTGGCCCAGGGAAGCCAAAAGATTGGACACCCCCGCTGTAGAGTCTGCGGAATCATGAGCCAATGAAACCTCTTTTCTTTACGAATGACCCAGTTTTAGGTATTTCTTTATAGTAGTGCAAGAACGGACTAATACATACATGAAATCTGAAAAAGGCTGAACTCATAGAAGCAGAGAGTAGAACGGTGGTTGCCAGGGGCAGGAGTACGGGAACTGGAGAGATATTGATCAAAGTACAAACTTTCTGTGCTAAAATGAACAAGTTCTGGGGATCCACCGTGCAGGATGGGTGGTAGTGGACGTATTCATTAATTTGATTGTGGTAATCATTATACAGTGTGTATGTGTATCAAATCGTCATGTTGGACATGTTGAACATATTCAATCTTTATTTGACAAGTAAAACGTTTTTAAATGAAGAGTAGTTTCTGCCTAAGTCTTGTTGTTGAAACTCTTCTAAGGTTGCTGCTATCGCTATTAGAACTAAGTATTATTATTTATAAGGAAAATGGGAGCTAGAAAAAGGCACAGCAGCTACTACTTTCCAAAGCAAGGGATGCATGTGCCATTTTAAGGAAGCATTAGCTAGAAGGAAAATGTAAATGATTTCACAGTTTTGTGCACCAACACTTCTACACTGGAGAAGTGGGAGGGACAGGAACAAAGAATGAATCTGTATAGTCTGGAATATCACCTCTTCCCATTAGCTGCTCATGGTAGGAACTAGTTCAGCTAATCAGCAAGATTAACAAATCAAAAAATATTTGATCATTTTCCTATCCTTGGTGAAATGAAATTAAGCCTGAGCAATTTGCAATAGGTAGCATTTTAACTGTTCCCTTAAAAAGGAACAGTTGATGGTACTTTTATAAAATTGCCTTTTTCCATATCTATTATTCCTTTGAAATATGATCACCAAAATTAAGCAGCACATTTTTAGGGATGGTATTTTTGCAGAGAATAAGAAAGGTGGAAATAAGTCTGTTTGTGATGCATCATAAGACACCAGAAGACAGTGGTCAACAGAAACTCCTCACATCTTCTCTTTCTTTTGTTCCTTTTTCCTTCCTGAAGGATCTATTATAGGGCCCCTCACACAACCGGAATAAAATAGCTGTTGGCTGATTGCTAACTGATTTACTTCTGTCTCCACTTACAGAATTTTGCTGACTCTTGATAGAAAAGATGCGTATTAAGCAATCTATTGAAATGCAAGTCATGGTCTGGTCATCATATGTAAGGTACAGCATAACGTTAGGGTATTGTACAAAAGAAAGTAACAGAAAATTGCTTCTTTAAAGAATGCAATCATGGGTGTACACTAAAATAAAGTCCTTAAAAATGGTAGTGGTGCCTAGACTAGTGTGTGGTTTGAAAGGAGGATTCTCTGGTTGCTATTCAGATGGCAACATCTGAGGAAACAGCCAAAGGAGAAAATCTACCTAAGGAAGAGGGAGGAAATCTCTTTTCCTGGGGACATTTGCAAGCTGACTAGACTCAACTCAGCCTGGAATGATGTAGATCAGAGTTGGTGTGCAGGGAATGCGTCTCAGGTAGGTTGAGATAATGATCATTTTAGCCCTAAGGGGAGCTGGCCAGGACTGGGGCCCACAGAGAACCAAGGGTGATTATTTGTGTCCATGGGGGCCTCTTGTATTTACCCCTATGTGCCATAAAGATATCACTTCTATCAACTCTATGATGTGAAACAGGTTGAGAAGCTAGTATATAGAGGAAGCTTGACAGAGGCTGACCTAGATGATTATTCAGCAAGAGTTAAGGATAAAACAAATTCTCCCTCACTCCTTCTCATGAAGATGAACTATGGTACAATAATTGCAATTCATTTTTTATTTAGCTTTAGAATTTGATTTTGTTTTTAGATTAAAATATGGGCGTTGGTAATATCTTCAGGGAGTGGGAACCAAAGGGTTTTAGTCTAGCATTAGAGAACTCAGCATCAAGTTTTCTAGCACCTAATTTAACGTGTTTCTTGGTTACTCGATTCTCATAACTGGGGTTCCACCTTATTCCCCTCTGCTTGACATCCTGTCTTGATGTTTTGCCTTGTACCCCAGAACCCCCGGAACTGAGGTCCTTCTCTTGTTCTTACAAGTCTTTTCTCCAAAGGAATGAACTTCTCTGCTCCTGAAATCAAGCCCAGAGCATTCCAGGAAGAAAAAACAACAACATCTGTAGAGATGCTGAGACAAGAACAAACATGGCGTGTGCGGGGAGCTTGCAAATCGTTCAGCATGACTTAAGTGAAATGGAAGGTTCTAGGAAGAGTAAGCGGTCGAACTACAAAGGTAGACAGCAAACATATCATGAAAGGCCTGACCTGTCATCTTAAGGATGACATAAGGTCCTCATGCCCTCATCCTGCTGAGAGTGTACTGTGGATACACAGATATGTATAGCATATGTAAACACAATACACATTTTAACATATTTTATTATAAAATAATGCACTTTATTATAAAATAACATACTTTATTATAAAATACTGCATGCTTATTATAAAAACACTTGGAAAATGTGGAGAAATTTTAAGAAAAATAAAAATATCACCTGTCATCCCATTAGCAAGATAGTATCAGTGATATTTTTGTGTATTTCTTTCCAGATTTATTTTGTGCACATGACACATCATTATTTAACTTATGTAGCGTGGTCTGCTTCTATCACTTAACAGTACATCTTCTACTTTTCCCATGTTGCTAAAATTCTTCCAAAACACAATTTTAATGATTATATGACATTTCATCTTAAGTAGTACAATTTATTTAGACATTCCCTTAGTATTTGAAAATGGGTTGTTTTAAATTTTTTTCTTCTTATGAATAACAGTGCAATAAGTGCCCCTGTACATAATACTTATATTCTTCACTGATTATTACCTTGGATGGTTTCCTTGCAATAGAATGTCTGGGTCAAAAAGCAAAAATGGGCCGGGTGCCATGGCTCAAGCCTGTAATCCCAGCACTTTGGGAGGCCGAGATGGGCAGATCACGAGGTCAGGAGATCGAGACCATCCTGGCCAACACGGTGAAACCCAGTCTCTACTAAAAAAATACAAAAAACTAGCCAGGCGAGGTGGCGGGCGCCTGTAGTCCCAGCTACTCAGGAGGCTGAGGCAGGAGAATGGCATAAACCCGGGAGGCGGAGCTTGCAGTGAGCTGAGATCCGGCCACTGCACTCCAGCCTGGGCGACAGAGCGAGACTCCATCTCAAAAAAAACAAAACAAAACAAAACA